ACCAACAATTGAATCATTTGACTACACTCACTGAACAACTTGTACGAGGGTTGCAGGAACTTCGTACAGCAGTTGTTAATGCACCAAGTACTCCCGCCGCCCCACCACCTCAAAGTGATCCTTCAGATACAGTGAGTACATCAGTTAATCCTCGGCTCGCTTTCCCTGATAAATTTGATGGCACTCCAACTAAATGTAAAGGTTTCCTACTACAATGCACGCTCTTCGTTGACCAACAACCAACTCTTTATTCCACCAATGCCAGCCGCATTGCATTTGTCTGTTCTCTGCTTACTGGCAGAGCACTAGAGTGGGCTACCGCCGTTTGGAGACCAGAGGGCTCCCCATTTGCTTCATTTGAGGACTTTATCCAACAGTTTCGTCAAGTTTTTGAACATACCACAGAAGGAGGAGATGCTGGAGAACAACTCTTAACTCTCACCCAGGGGAGGAAAACTACAGCTGAATATGCTCTCACGTTTCGCACGCTCGCTGCCCAAACCAACTGGGTCGAAAATACATTGAAAACTCTCTTCAGGAAAGGACTAACAGTTGAACTTCAGTCCGAGTTAGCCTGTCGAGACGAGGGAAAGAACTTGAACGAATATATAGCTCTGGCCATTCAAGTCGACAACCTTATGCGGTCCAGACGTGCCACCCGAGCACCAGTCCATTACTTACCCGAGGCAGCAGCAGCTCACGAACCTATGCAGATCGGATTCACTCATCTTACTCCAGAGGAACGTGAACGTAGAATGCAGAATCGGCTGTGCATGTACTGTGGTCAACCTGGACACATGAAGCTCTCCTGTCCTGTCCGACCTTCTAATCGCAATCAAATGGTGAATCATCAGGGAAAACATCTAAATTCTGCATCCAGTTTCTCTCTCCCTATTCGTTTGACCACTCAAGATCAAATTACTGATACTACAGCATTGATAGACTCTGGAGCAGCGGGAAACTTCATTTCTCATACATTTGCCAAGCAATGTAACCTCAAATTAAACCCTTGTCATTCTTCCCTAACAGTGGAGGCGCTAGATGGACGTCCCCTCGGAGAGGGCAGGATCCAGCGTGTAACGGAGAGAGTAAAAATGCACATTGGGTCTCTTCATTCCGAGTACATCCAGTTTTACGTCATCCATGCTCCACATCATTCCATCATTCTTGGTCATCCCTGGCTTCAAATCCATAACCCACACATTTCCTGGAGAGAAGGTCAAATAATTCACTGGGATGAGACTTGTAACAACCGCTGCCTGTCCAAAGTCACTCGAGTAACCTGTTCAACACCAGAATCTGTCACATCAGACCCCGAACTGGGAAACATACCCTCTGCATATGCCGATCTCTCTGAAGCCTTCAGCAAAGAAAAGGCCTCACAACTTCCTGAACACCGCTCAACCGACTGTGCCATTGATTTAATTCCCGGTACTACACCCCCAAAAGGAAGAATATTTCCCCTATCTAAACCTGAATCTGAGGCCATGAAACAATACATAGAAGAAGAGCTTGCTAAAGGTTTCATTCGACCTTCCACATCACCAGCCGCCGCCGGCTTCTTCTTCGTGAAGAAGAAAGACGGGGGACTCAGACCATGCATCGATTATCGAGGATTAAATGAGAACACTGTCAAATATCGTTATCCTCTACCTCTTGTTCCAGCCGCCTTAGAACAGCTTCGTCGAGCCAAATACTACACCAAGCTCGACCTGCGCAATGCTTACAATCTTATCCGCATACGTGAAGGTGACGAATGGAAAACTGCCTTTTCCACCACTAGTGGGCACTATGAGTACTTGGTTATGCCATTCGGCCTGTCAAACAGTCCTTCCGTCTTCCAGTCCTTCATGAATGACGTTTTCCGGGATATGCTGGACAAATGGGTGATCGTGTACATTGATGATATATTGATATACTCAGACTCACTGGAGGAGCACATTCGCCAGGTCAGATCAGTTCTCCAACGACTCATTCAATATCATCTCTATGCCAAAATGGAAAAATGTGAGTTCCATCAGACAAGCATATCCTTTCTGGGATACATTATCAGTCAGGAGGGAGTAACCATGGATGAGAAGAAGGTAAAAGGTGTGCTGGATTGGCCATTACCCCAGACCATAAAAGAATTGCAAAGATTCTTGGGATTTGCAAATTTCTACAGAAGATTCATCAGAAACTTCAGTCTCATAGCCGCTCCTCTAACAGCTCTAACCAAACGACACAGCTCTCGTATACTGTGGACCCCCGAAGCACAACAAGCATTCCAAGATCTAAAGACACGATTCACTACAGCACCCATTCTACGTCACCCTGACCCAGAACTCCAATTCATCGTAGAAGTGGATGCTTCCAATACAGGAGTGGGAGCCATATTATCCCAGCGACAAGGGAACCCAGCCACGATGTATCCGTGTGCTTTCTTTTCCCGCAAACTTACCTCAGCTGAACGTAATTACGATGTTGGGAACCGTGAACTATTAGCCATGAAATTAGCCTTAGAAGAATGGCGTCACTGGCTGGAAGGAGCTAATCAACCATTCATCATTCTCACCGACCACAAGAATCTGGAATACCTACGATCAGCCAAACGTCTCAATCCCCGTCAAGCTAGATGGGCTCTGTTTTTCACCAGGTTCAATTTCACCGTCACATATCGCCCGGGCACCAAGAACACCAAAGCTGATGCCCTCTCTCGGCAAACTGAGGAGATAGCCCAGAACTCCAATCCTGAAAGTATCCTTCATGAAAACCTGTTAGTAGCCCCTGTCCAGTGGGATATCATAACCGAGATTCAACAAGCAAACCTTCAGATACCCACCCCCACCGAATGCCCAACAAACCTCCTCTTTGTACCTGAAACACTACGGCCCCGTCTCCTCGATCAAGTCCATTCAACCCCAAGTTCTGGTCATCCCGGAATCACTGCCACCATTCAACTACTCCAAAATCAATTCTGGTGGCCCACCCTTTCGTCCGATGCCATCAAACACGTTCAAAGTTGCATCAACTGTCAAACCTCCAAATCACTCCGAAGATTACCTGCTGGTCTTTTACGTCCTCTCCCAACACCTCAACGACCATGGTCACACATTGCTGTTGATTTTATCACTGACCTACCCAATTCCCAAGGCTACACCACCATTTTCACTATAGTGGATCGATTCTCCAAGGCCTGTCGACTAGTTCCCCTCACCAAGCTTCCCACTGCCTTCGAAACGGCAGAACTCCTGTGCAACCAAGTGTTTAGATTCTATGGATTACCTGATGATATAGTATCTGACCGGGGACCTCAATTCACTTCCAGAGTATGGACAGCTTTCTTCAAGCATCTGAATGTGAACATTAGCCTCACCTCAGGCTATCATCCCCAGTCAAATGGTCAAACAGAGCGCCTGAATCAAGACATAATCCGCTTCCTCCGAACTTACTGTCAACAACATCAACATGACTGGAGTAGATACTTATTTTGGGCCGAATACGCCCAAAATTCGCTGGTTAAACCCGCAACTGGCATCACCCCCTTTAAATGTATACTCGGCTTCCAGCCTCCTCTCTTCCCATGGTCTGGTGAACCCACAGAACTCCCATCCGTCACGGAATGGTTGCACAGGAGCGAGGAGGTCTGGGATCAAGCTCACACACACTTACTGCATGCTATCAGACGTCAAGAACAACAAGCCAATCGCCATCGTCGCCCTGCGCCGGAATACCAGATCGGCCAATGGGTATGGCTATCAACCAGAGACTTACGACTCCGACTTCCATGTCGCAAGCTCAGTCCCAGGTATGTTGGCCCATTCCAAATTGTTAGACAAATATCCCCAGTATCATTTCGTTTAGAACTACCGGCTAATTATCGTGTTTCTCCTACTTTTCATGTTTCTCTGCTGAAACCTGCTGGTGGTCCGAGGGGAGAACCGGAGGAGGGAGCCGCCTCTCAGAACCCCCCAGCTATACTGGTTGACGGCGAGGAGGCGTACCAGGTGCACAAGTTGCTGGACTCCAGACGTCGGGGTAATATTCTCCAGTATCTGGTTGACTGGGAGGGGTACGGTCCGGAGGAGCAATCCTGGGTAAATTCAAGGGATATCTTGGACCCCACTCTTACTGAGGAGTTTCATAGGATGCACCCGGAGAAACCGGCCCCTCGACCCCGTGGAAGACCCCGACGTCAGTTGCCTCCTCGCGTCAGGAGCCGCTCGCAGGGAGGGGGCTCTGTCACAGAGGAGGCTCCCGTACCACCTCCTCTCTGCCACCAGAGGGAGCCTTCTCCGGAATATTAACTATTGGCTCTGAACTCAAATTCCCATAATACCTCTTACCTGGGACTGATTGCACTTCACACCTGCACTGCATTTACACACACACTTAAAAGACACTTCCACTCACTACTTCTCTGCGAAGTCTTGATTTGCCTTGGTGATCACTTCTGAGCGTTTATCCATTGTCTTGTTTATCTGGTTTTGATCTTGGACTGTTTCCTCATTTGTTTGATTGTTATCTGCCTGGCCTGACTTGGACTGTTCTTGGACTTTTGATTATTGCTGCCTGCCCCGAATTCTGCCTGTTGTCTGGATTACCCCTGCTGTTCGATCTACCTTGCTCTGTCTGCCCTGTTTGACCCCGCCTGTACGACCTTCCATATTAAAAGCTGCAAATGGATTCTACTGAGTCTAGTGAATCATTACAGTTGGCTTGAATGTTGTGCAATTCGGTGAGAAAATGAATGGAAACACCTTAACATGTTTAAAATCAATTCGATATACCAATTTGATCGCAAAACAGCATGTGACGTCATTACGCACATGTTTTTATCCGCTTTAAAGCCGTTTGATGAAAACACACTTTCACCAGCTTTATTCGCATGAGGTTTTTTACCGAACTTCAGATAATTCAATTGACAAGTGGATGGAAACATGGCTTCTGTCTCTATGAGCATCCTTGTCAACTGCAGTGATATTGTTCAGGTTGTGTATGTTCCAGGTGTTGGGTCTCACCTCTGCTGAGCAGCTGTAGGTTGCGCACCTCCTCTCTGACCTGTAGCTGTAGGACCTGCTGCAGGACCTCCTGTCTCAGTGTCTCCTGGATTATACCCATCCTCTCCAGCTTCTCTCCATTCAACCGCAACAGGGCACGACCTGAAAAAGTGTGTGAGTGACAGTTTGAAAAGTCAATGCCAGCTTTGTAAAATAGCTAGATGGAACAGAAAAGGATTATATCTGTAGAAAATTTGATCGATAGTATGGAATTGGTTTACATTTCTTTAAATCCTCAAGCCATCAAATTAATGTCACAGGTCTTGCCAACAGAACAAGCCAACCAGAGAAAAAGTCTTTGAGATGTCTTTGAGAAAACCAGACATGTAATAAGACTTTCTCTTCCTGCTGTACAGTTTAAGCTCTGCTGCTTCTAAGACACCGCATTTTGGCCAATATATCATTTGTGCATAAAGCAATTCCAGGGCATATTGTAATAAGCTCTGTGACAAAAAAAAAAAAAAAACACCCAAGGTGGCGGATGAAGAGAATGTTGACTATAAAAAAATAAACATAATAAATGATAATACAATTTATTTGTATGGCACCTGTCATACATAAAATGCAGCTATCACGGGTCAGAATAATTAAAAAAATACAGGGAATTAACCAAAATAAATAAAACAAATAACAATAAAAAGCAACACAATTAAGGTTGAGAAAAAAATATTAACAAAAACATTGCAGAAAATTTTCAGTCTGATTAAAACGGTCTAATTTAATTAAACAGTAAAAGCAAAAAAGGAAAATAATAAGGTTGAGAAAATTAGTAGAATTACCCGTATATAAATATTCATCAATAATGTCGTATTCACGTCAAAACTTAAGTATAGGTTGTAACATGCTATTGTAGACCGTTATTTGAAATTGATTCAAATTGCCAACTTCACGTCTATTGCGTTCTCGAAATTCCGGCCAGTTGATAGTACCTAGAATATCTAAATCGACTGCTGGCGGTAGATCCTTTTCCTCTTTAGCACCAAAACTCTGGAACAATCTTCCTAACATTGTCCGGGAAGCAGACACACTCTGTCAGTTCAAATCTAGACTAAAAACACATCTCTTTGGCCTAGCATACACATAACACACTATAGACTTCCTTAATTCAAAATTAGGCTGCATAGTTTAGATCAGCCGGAACCGGGAACACGTCCCGTAAATCCTGATGTACTTGGTACATCGTAAGAAGGATGGCGTCTATGCTAATATTAGTCTCTCTGTTTATCCCGAGGGACCGTCTATGGTGGACCTGCGCCTGAACCCATCCCAACTCATCCTGAAGTGCCAGCCTCATCAGCCCTGTGAAGGCCTCATCGACACGACAGCCATGGGCACTGATCCTCAACAACTCGTCTCCATCCCGGCGTCATTACTTCGACTTCCAACCAGATGGAAATGGATAAATACTCTAAATGTTCCGATCCAATCTGACTTGTAACACTGCCCGAATCGTACACTGGTCCTTCGTTGGCCAGAGGAGAACTGGCCCCCGACTGAGTCTGGGTTCTCCCAAGGTTTTGTTCTCCATTCTGTCCCTGAGGGAGGTTTGGTTCCTTGCCACTGTTGCCTTGGCTTTTGGCTTGCTTAGTTGGGGACATTTAATATTCAACAATATTATTGATCTGCCTTACTTAAGGTGGACGTTGATGCAATTTTCTTCTAGAAACAAACTTTGTTGTATTATTTTAATGTTTTCACTGTGAAGCTGCTTTGATACAATCTGTATTGTAAAAAGCGCTATACAAATAAAGGTGACTTGACTAATTGCGAGATGCATCTCTCATTCGCACAACAAATCTCTTTTCCATTTCGGCTAGCATGCTACCTTTTAGCCGCCTAAGTAAGCAGTAGACAGCAAAGCCGCTTAGTTTCGCAACAGAGAGTTTATTTACATCATAAAGCCTGCTCACGTCCCTCACTGTCAGAGCCTCGTCCTTCAAAAAAACATCACAAAGCAGGAGAATTTATTGTCATTCGCCCCGAATGCGCTCGCTCTAATTAAGCGCATAAATCATATTTTTCTCTCTTACAATATAATCATCCATCCTCATTCTTACCTGGCAAGTCCGCAGACACTCCCTCAGAAGAACGCCAGACACAGTTTACATAACGAGAGTCTATTTTAAGCCTCATTAATGAATGTGTTCAATTTCCGCACATATTGCTGCTCAGTGAAGCCGGTTTACGTAAGGCCCATTTTGTGACCTTGGATGAGCTTATTGATTTGTGTGGTGTGTGTCCAGGAACATAGGCGCTGGACAGCTATTCCCCTCCGTGAATGAAACATAATGACCTTAATACCAGCTGGCCGTGGCTATTTCTCTGATGATGTAGTGGAAATGGAGAGATGAGTGCAGTGTGGTTTGGGGGTTCAGAGACTGGATAATGATAATTACAGTTTTACAGATCATCTACAGAACTTCAAGAGCTGTCCCTTGAGACGAACCACTACCTGGCGTTTAATTACTTTCTCATAAGTGAGATTTGGTTACAGAAACCTTCATACGTTCAGAAACGGGGAACAAAATGACTCATCTTGGAGATTTAGCGGTTAGAGGAAGAAAGGTTGTCTTCTTTCAAGTCAGCTAGAAATAGCATGACAAGCATAGCCTTCCTTCGTTGACATTAACAGGAAGTTTAGATATTTGGGAAAGCTATTAGACTCGTTGGGAAAAACATGCTTCTACTTACATTTTTGCAAAACTTTAAAGACGTGACTTTACATACAATTCACTGCAGTTTCCAGCTGAAATTAACACTAGTGACAGTAAAACAACAACAACTTTTATTCCTTTCCACGTAAATTGGGATTACAGGGGTAGGCTGTCGATTAATTCAGACTTAAAGTGCTGTAAGTAACTTTTTTACTCTACAAAAGCATAAAAATACCATAATATGTTTGCAGATATTTAGGAAACATGCTAAGTTCACATACTCGTTTCTCTGAAAAACACTTCTATAGCCAGTTATTTTACTTATTATTTTACACGTTCCGTGTTGTCTGTCAGTTTTTGTTTTGGTCTGTGTGATCTCGCCCACTGCCAGTTCTCCCAATAGTATTTCGACACCCCGGGATGCCAGTTGGCAGGAACTACAGCGTATTGCAGCCAGCGAACAAACTGGGTCAGAGATTGCAGATTCTACCCGACCTAAAAAGCCTCGGTATCCATCTAAAAATCTTAATGAAAGAGAGCATATAAAAACACGGATAAATCAACTCATCAACTTACAGTGTAAGTCTCCTCGGCTTTCATTGTCAATTGACCCTTCAAAGGGAGTTTGATGTGACGTCGCTTGTCGGACATAGCAACAGTAACTAAAGGGGGCAGGTCTTTGCGAATGGTCAATTGCGCTTATTCCTGTTGCGTGTCCTCAAACTGGCAACCCATGTGAGCGTCGAGTCTGAGGAGGCGGGGGAAAGAACTATTTTTAATTTGGACTGCAGTACCTATTTCGACCACTAGCTGTCATTAGCCACTAGCTATCAAGTCCGAAAATTTGGTATGCGTTTTTTCATATTCATCATCCTAATATTCATCCTCATATTTCACAGAAACCTTGCACGCTGGGTCCGATGCAAATTAATTAAATCTTTGCGGAAAAAAATCGCAAAACAATACAAAATGGAGTCTTCAAGCAGGGAAGATGATTTTGTTGTCCTCTCTCTTCTTAAAAAGAGAAAAAGAAACAAGAAGCGAAGCGATTCAAAGATTACTTCAGGATGTCAGTGGCTCAATTTGATGCTTTGCTAGCGATACTGGAGCCACATATTAAAAAGAAGACCACCAATTTCCATGAACCAATTGATCCTGAACATGTCTGGATTTTGGCGTTCGCTTGTACGGTGGATCTGAATTGTCAAATCACCTATCAAAATGCTTTCTACGGATGCGAAAAACGCAGAAAAATTAACCTGATCCTTATTTTTTTTTTTATGATGGACGAACATTTCGGAGGCAGTGTGTAAACACGATTGACACAACGCAAGGTCGTATTTTTTGCGAAATTTTCGGACGAGAATTTTGGACTCAAGGACCTTCCTTGCTTGCACAATACTATGTTATGACCTCAAAGCACTTTACCATAGTGCATGGTTTGTAAACTAATACTTTTGATGTTTGCAGCACATGATCAGCTTCATATCTTTGGCTTTTCTGGCATAGTAAACTTGCTCAGTAGCTCACATGATACAGCACTGCACTTGCGAAGCCGAGCGCTCGGTGAGTCTCGTGAAACACATATCATGATAAAAGAGCTCAAAGACTTGTAAAATCAAGATTAAAGGTCCTTGCACACTGAAGCCGAAATTCTCGTCCGAAATTTTTGCACATTAAAAAAAATCCGACCTCACGTTGTGTCAATCACGTTTACACACTGCCTCAGAAACCTTCGTCCATCATAAAAACAATTCGGATCGGGTTCGATTTTCTGGAATTGGTTTACGTTTTTAAAACGCATACGAAAATGCCGGAGTCAGTGTGCAAGGACCTTAACTCTTTCCCCGCTATTGACAAAAATTTCCGTCATTTTTGAGAAAACGCTTCCCCGCCATTGACGGAATTTTCCAACTTTCCATGTTTTCACTGTTATACGGTAGGGGGTGCTATTACACATCAACAACAAAGAGTACAGAATCTCCTGAATCTCCAAATCAAAACACATCAAAACGAGAAGCAGAAACAAGCGATATCATATGTAATCATATGCATATGTAAAATAACGCTTTTCGTGCCACTCACTGGACATTTTGCTTTGAAAGCGTCGCAAAAACGTGCAAGCAGCAACCTATAGCACAGGAATATTTTCCCAATGAGCCTGGGTTGTATTCAGCCCTGTCGGGTATTTTTCCCAGGCCAAAGACCAGCAGGGGCACAGATGAGCTGCAGAAATTATGAAATTATTATGATTATGCAGTGCATAATAGCTTGGACTGTTGCCATCACAATTAAAGATGCTCTTCCACACAGCAAGTGCAGAATGATGCAAGCCAGACTCGTGGATTGTACTGTCACAATCTAGTTGTGCTGTGTGGCGTCACACTACGCAGCACGCTTCCAGTGTACAGATGGTGCAAACATCTGTGCCCAGATGCCCAAGGCATG